TAAACATAAGACACATTATGTGGTTTAGTCATTACCTATGGTCTCCGCTGGGGAAAAGGAAAATGACATACGATATCTTCAAAACTTTTTTTAAAAATTGAAAAGTCACCCGGTGATGATAGTATTTAACAAGCTGTGTTTTCAAGATACAATCTACTGTCCAGTCACTTAATGTTCTTCAGTTTGAGGATGCCATTAAAGCATAATTTTTCATTGAATTCTTCCTGGAACTCATTACAATTGAAATTCCATGTGAAACATTGCCTCTTTGGATATATTTGGTGATAATCTGGAATAACTTCAGGGTTGCCAGAATCTTATTTTAGATCTACATCTTAAATAATATAGATAATGTACTGTATTTAAAATACAGATAATAATGTTAGATCTAAATGTAAAATAATAATAATACATCTTATTTCAGCTGCTAGATGTAACATAGATCAGCCTCTATAAATTTAAGTGATGGCATTTGTAATGGCTACCAGCTGAGGTAAGCATAGTTAGTATCCTCGTTCAGTACCTAAAATTAAAAATCCAAACCAAAAAATCATTCAGGTTAACTCATAATAATTCCCTATTTTTTTCTGGCAAAACAAGAACTCAAAATTAATGTTGCTTTGGGGATTATATCTCAATTCATAGTGTTCTTCAAAATGAAGGTTTCATTTTCAGTATCTTTTTAACATTTAGATGTGAGTAAGATTAGCAACGCAATATGTTAGAATGAAAACTCAGAAAGTTTTCTTGTGAAGGTCTCAAACTTACCCAGTTTTAAATTGTTGCTTCAGCCAAGTGTCTGTAATTTCATTTTAAATCTCGTCATTTTTTCAGTCTCCCTGAACTCATTGTTTATGCAATTCTGGCTGATGATTTTAATTTTTTCTTCACTTCTGAATTCTGTGAGGACTTTTTTAAAGGGGGCAGGCTTCTTTCTTCTCACTCTTACTTTGTAATTGTTTTGACTATTTTTTTTAATTCTTTATAATTTATTTCCAAAATTGCAGATTAGAAGTGAAGGCCCATATCTGCAAAGAAGTAACTTGTAGATATGAAGCTTTATCAATATAGATACTGAATTGTAGAAGCAGGTGAATGGGAAAGCTATTCACAAGACACGCAGTATATTGAGGAAGGATGAGTAAATTAAGCAATTGGAAATGTGGGAGGTGGGATCCGTCTCTCCCCTTTCTCCTGATCCCAAACTTTAGTTGCTGGTGGCCAAGCTAAGATAAACATCTCTCTTAGAGGGGGTTCAGGTCTGACCCCAGGGTTGCTTTGGGCTGGACAAAAGAGTTTGCATACTCAGGCAGAAACCAAGAAATTTGCAAACATAGACTCTTAAATTTGGGATGGCCGAAGCACCATATCTGCAAGGTAAAATGAAAAGTGTCCCTAGGGAAATAAAACTATGATGTCCGCAAACAAGAATTGCTCCTGAAGTCAATCCTTTAAGACACCTGCATGGAAAGGTGGACTACTTTTCCATTCTCAGCTGCTTCATTATGTTTCAAAAGCACTTTGGGTCAAAACCGTGCTGCCTCAGACTGAGATCTCATCCTTTCCAGGATCTCTCTTATGCAAAAGACCTGTATGAATTGTGCTATAAAGAAGTACAGTAGTGTCTTGAGTCGCTGATAGAGACAAGTGTTGACCCTACTGCTACCTGAAATGGGAGAGCTATTTATTGGTCAATGAGACAAGTCTGCTCAGATGATAATCTGCATCCTGTCTTACCATGAAAGTTTGCTTATACCAGAAATTTTACTCTTTTCCCCAAGATCCAACATCACTCTGAAAACTAGCACCCGAATATTATTCTAAGCTTCTGGTCACCAGTTACCTGGTTATTAATAATTCCTAGTTTTTACACTCGTCAGGAGATGCTGGACAAATCCAGAAGAGCTTTGTCCACACACATGTTTTTCTCTTGTATAACTTGGGTTTTGGTGATTCTTTCATTAAACTCAAAACCTGTATCAATGGTACTATAGAAGGGACAATGGAATAATTGCCCCAGTGTCATCAAAATTCCTTGCTGTATCTATGATATGATACTGATAGGATTTCTTTATGGAATAGAAGACCTTGTAGAAAAGCAGCTTAGTTGTGCCATTTCTGTGGTACTCTCAGGACATAGACTGTATAATTGACTGCAGACATCTTAGCTCAAAAGCCATCTTAGAGTTTCATCCAGTCCCAGTAATATGTATGTAGTCCCATGGGCTGCATCCAAGGATTATGCTAATTTTATTAGCAACTCCTCTTGCTTTAATTAAAACTGCACAAATTCCCACCTGAGCACTGTTGTGCCAACACCCTTCTTTCCATTTTTATTTGAACTTGCAGATATTTTATGTTTTTGCACTTGAATTCTGATGGTATTGAACTATCCGTTGTGTTTTCCACATGAAATCATACAATGCTGAGGGGTGAATAGGGTTTCAGATTGAATTACTGGATTTGGTCAAACCTAGAGATCAAAGCAAAGACCTGTGTGTTCAAAACTGGCCTGCTCTTCACCAGAGAAAGTGTTCCAAGTAACTTGGTGTCTGAAAGTACCGAGTTATGCACTGCTATTCAAAATACCTGCAAGCAAGCACTGTATTAACATTTACTTTACTGTGTTTATACCATGAAGCAGAGCGATGTGAATTCCTTAGTGGACTGTTAATTTACATGTTCTACACTTTCAAATATTTCCAAAAGTAAATGTGAAATGATTAGTAATCCATTCACATGCTTACACAGTGTTATTAGCAAAATGCCTTTGGCACTATGTTATGTTGACTAAAATTGATAATTCTGTATTTTAAAACTAAAGCAACTCCCCCCCCACCACCACACACACACCTCAATAAACCTCAGGGCCTGCCCAGAGCCCAGACCTGGTCAAAACTGGAGCCTATGGTTCAGTTTGCAAAGTATGCTGAATTGAGAAAAAAATAAAATAAGGGACAAGACCAATGATCTAAGATTAGTAATGATATCTACTCTTTAGAAACCTTCTCTGCAAGTCTTCTGTGGAGCCCTGCAGTTTAAAATGGTTTGTTCTCTTTAAAAATCACCATATGAAGGTAGTGCTGGTATTGCTGCTTATTGTATGTATGTTGCTCTAGGAAAATCAATGCTGGTCATTCTTTACACTTCTACATTACTTTGTGTTTTTAATTGTGTGTGGTTTTGACAGGACCAGAGCCCTGAACAAAATGTCCCGTACCCACTTCTAAAAGATGCGTGTGTTTTCTTTCTAAGAGAATCAAAGAGCAAGTAGTTTGACAGTATATTGCTGTATCTCTTTTTTGAATAATAGTTTCTGTGCCTCATAAACTCAAATCTAACATGACACTTCCTCTTAAATGCCAATTATTTTGTCCAGAAGAGTTCTCCAGAAGTCTGCTCCTCAGCGTTTAATGCCAAACCCACAGGATAAAGAACATGTAATATTAAAATTTAGTAAAAGCTACTGTGATATTAAGACCCAGCAAAAAGTCTGTGAGCTAGTCAAGTATTGCTTCTATAGTTGCAACCTACACTTCTCAGAAATTTGCATTTATAGCTAGGAAGTAATTAAATAAAGAGATGCATCATCATTTTCTTTTTTAGCACATGGGTGAATTATTCTGCCAACATGTGAAGGGGTGTTCATATAACATCACGGTGCTTTCTGCTAGAGAAAAACAATTACAGTGAGTAAGGTAGAATGGCTCTGTTATTGCAGTACATAAGACTTTGATTACATACTGCCAAGATTCATACCAGCCTAGTAGTTGTTGACAGATAAAGTAACAAAAATGAAACTCATTTATTTTTTCTTTATTGAGACCTCAAGGTAAAGCAAATTTTCAGTTCTTGTACTTACTACGTTGAAGGAACAGAGACTGACAGTCAAAATGTGCCAGTCCAGAAATATAAATTAAACCTAGTTTCATATCAAAGTTTCATTTAGTCTCTGAAAAGGAGCTGCTGCTTGGATTATTTTTGATCCTAAAACAAATATACTGTAGACTACTGTAGTGTATCTTGGATGAATTAACCCTCTCCTATATTTAGCTCTGAGGTGTTTTCCAGGATATAGATCTGTGTCTATTTATGCAATTTTAAAATTTGTTTTGGACTTAATTATTTTACTTTGTTCTCAGTTTAGTAATAATTGACTGTGTTTGCAAACCCAATATATGTAATGATGGATTCAATGGAGAGTAGCACTTTTGCTGGAGGATGGACACATTTTGAGAAAAGGGCCTCCCCTCCCCCTGGGAAGACAGAATTCTTCTCACTGATGGTACAGGAAGATCCTCTAGGCGGCTAGACTAGATACTGCATTACTCCTTGATAAGTCTAACAAATGACTTTTTTTGTTTTTGGTAAAGGTGATTAGTTTCTAAAGAGCAGACAAAACTAGCTATTGAAATGGAAAGTGCTAAAATGAGTGTTTCTCTCCCATCAAAATCTTGGATTAGTTACCTAGCCCAACCGAATATAATTGCTGTTCAGATTAATGAGGCAGTATTCTAGTATCTCCTCTGTAATTAAACACTTCTCTGGTTGCATACAGTATTAAAGATGCACCAGACGTTGAAACCTCAGTGGTGAAATTTAAAACTGTTGAAATTGAAAGGGTCAGCTGTGAAACACAAATTTCCCTGCAGCATGGGTAAACTCACTTGTAAAACGTGTTTCAAGAATAATTTGACTAAAGTTTGAGATGCTGGATTTTTTTAATTTTTCTTATCATTCCATCATCTGAATATGAGAATTTTTCTCATTAGTTTCTGAGCAAAAGTAACATAAAGTGCACTTGTTTCCAGAATTACCTTTTCTGACCTTTCACAAGATGATAATTGCAGTACTAGTAGGCTTAGAGGTCTTGTTAAAAAAATTAAGCTTATAAAGTAGCAAAAAATGCCCCTTTGCTTACTGGTGTCAATTTCAAAATTAACATTTTGGTTCATGTGCTTCTAATAATCGCTGACCCTTACTTCATGTGCTTTCCACAGGAAATGAATACAGCAGAAATTACTTTGACCCGTTGATGGATGAGGAAATAAACCCAAGGCAGTGTGGGATGGAGGTCAGTGAAGAAGGTGAGGCGGAATTAAGTATGTAATTTTGGTGTCAGAATATTCTTTTCCATTCATGAAAATGAGGTGAAAAAGATCACATATGCAGTTCCATTTAAATATTGAGGTTTACGATTTAAATTATAAGCCTTACCCACTATGAACACGGTAGGCAGTATACGTAGTGTTTGATGAAGGACAGAGTTAATGGACAAGTAAAAGTGAGACTGTGCTGTATTCACTTAGCTATTACAGCAACAGAATGAAGCACGCTCCAAGAAAATTGTCTACACTATGTTCTCTATAACAGACGTAGTCAGTCCAGAACTGAGTGTCAAGCTGTATTTTTTTTGCAACCCCGCTCCCAAAGTCCTCATGCAAGAGGAATTTTATTATCGAGCTGACCTGTGTTTGCCTAACAGAAGAGAAACCCTGGAGTACATAAATGTTCCCAGCTCATCAAGTTGCTTTTTTGGTTTTCTTTTTGCTACTTTGTCCAAAGTGTTTAACTTTGTTGTCTGCTGGTGATACCCGTGATTGGGATAGCAAGGAGTGGGAGGGTGTGACTCTGCAGTACTGGGAGAACAGAAGTTATGCATAGGTATGAGAGAGATTAACTGGGAGGTATTGTCTTTCCAGCAGAAGAAATTCTCCTTTGCTGTCATGGCTCTTAGATAAAAAGGGTGGGAACGGGCTTGCCTGAATTTGCATGGACTTAAGTAAGAACATCATCATGGTAATGAAGTGCTTAGCTATGCATTGAGAGCTTTGGCCCAGCTCCTGCTGTTAAGTGCTAACAACCTGATGGCACGCAAGACTGAGTTCTCCTCTGTTACCTTTCTAGCCCTTCACTTTTTTTTTTAACCTTTTACTTATTTGTACTGCAGTACCTCTCTAGACACATAGTTTTAGTCAAATCTGGAGTTTAGGTAGATGGGAAAATTTGTCTGCAGTAACGGATTTCAAAATAGGCCACTTCTGAAGTTCATGAGAAGATTTTACTTTGTGTGGATATCATAAACATCTGAATTTCTGAAGAAAAAGCACGTGCGACTGAGAGAAAAGTAGGCTTTAAAGCACACCGATAACTTGACTCTCTGTGTACTGGAGAAAAAAGACAAGAGGATTTTAGGTTTACTCGGCAAATTGCACCTAACCCCATAATTTCCCTGTCCCTTATATAGGACAGCAATGTGATTCTTTGGAAGTGGAATTCAACTTTTGGCTCAAAGTTTTTAAGTGAAAGGCTTTCTTTCTGTTGGGGATGCTTTGGTTGATCTTATAATAAATAGGCTTCATGAGTCATGATCTGCTTCAATTCCGGAGAATGAAAAGTGGATTAGGTTTCCGCATCTGTGCGTGTGCTTAAAAACAGGTACAGGTACAGTGGTGAGATGCGTGGAAGTAAAGTTTTTGTTTTCTCGTATCGAGCTGGACTGTGTCCAGGAGAGCCATGTCTATAGGGCTGTCCTTTGGCATCTCTCCTTTTTCTCCCCTGGCAGAACCGTCGCTCAGGGGCCGGCGTATGCCCGGTTTATGAAAGGCCTGTTAGGAATGGCGGCAGCCTCAGGCTGGTTGTGTTGGCACCTGCAGAGCAGTTATAACGCTGTATTTACCAACACCTGTGCCAAGAGCAGTGCTAGGCTGTGGGTCAGACTGGAGTGTTTCTTTTAGAGTAGTGAGTTATCGCTGCGCATGTCATGATTGCAAATATTAGAGAAGTTACTGATTTTATGATCCTTTTCTTCCTTTCTTGGATTACTTCCTTGCTTTTCTCTTACTGTTTGTCTGAATCTCTAGCATTTGCCGAAGGAAGGGACTCTGTTCTTTCCACTTATTTTATGTAGGTTTTGTCATTTTCAGTTATTCACCTTTGTCCTAGAGCCTTTTGGCTTGTCTGTTGAAGGCAAGACTAAAGAAAGACATGGCAATTTTAGGTGAATTTTGCTTTGCTTTCTCTTGTACAGTGCACTATGGAATCAAATAGGCAGAAAAACATTGTGGTTCTTAAGCAACGCAACAGAGCTCCACTAAAATTTATCTAAAGCCCTATAATATTTAAATATTTAAGGGGGAGCGATGTCTTTTTCCTGCAGTGCTTTTTGCAGATGTATGGAATTCTCCATGGCCTCTTCCTAAATTCCTTAGCATAAGCAACTCAAAAGGGAGACCGTGAAGTGTGGTATGTGAGTATTGTCTGCCGCATTTTGGCTCTCGAGTCTCTGTGATTCTTTCTCTTGCTTAATTTGATACCACACATCTCAACAACCAGCTATCACATGTACTCAGAAACAGGCGCATTGACTGATTTTCCTTTCCTGGAGAAGCGTTAATGAGTGGAACTACGTTCATATGCAGTAGGCATAGTTAAAAGGACAGTCAGAAGTAATGGTCGTCTTCTGATTGGACACCATACACACCTCCTCTTTGCATCTAGTGGTCAGTCACTAATAAGAGAAAAAAGAACAAGATAATTCAGTGTGCACTTTAAAGTTACACTCCTCTTAGGACTTAACCAAGTCAGGCCCACAGAGAATAGCTGATGAAAAGCAAATCTTCAGTCACTAACTGCATTATACAATGTTAAATATTATTTAAATGTGCGCATTGTATGAGATTCTTTAATGGGTTATTCTGTGAAAATGAAGATATTGGCAATTATCCTTTCTATATTTGATAAATTTCCAGAACAAATTTAATTTATCTGAGAACCCTGAGAACAAAGAACACCCCAATGTGGATTTACTTTTTTTTTTTGGTCCAAGGCAATGTTTCAGTGCTGTATGCTAAGAGGAATGTAAAAGATACTGATCTGTACTTTGAGAAGAGTAGAATTTTGCAGAGGCCTCCATTTTTGAATGCCTAATTTAACTGTAAATTTGTCACTGTAATATTATGATGAATATGATTTATCCTTTGAAAATCTTTCAAATACTTAAAAAGGAACATCCAAGGTCATTGGCAACTATACTTCAATTGACCTACCTTGTATACATTTCTTCATTTTTTTTAACCTGCCTGACTTCACTAATGTTTTAGAGAAGCCAGGGTCTGGGAGACCTGAAGAGAGGACAAGTCTCAATTGGTAATCTCCTTGAATATAGACTCTTGAGGTGATTTTAGGTCTCGTGGGAAATGGTATGTATATGAGTCTTGCTCTCTTTCAAAAATCTGCAGATGTTATTGTCAAATTGAGTGACGGACCAGCTACAGAACCAAAATTCATGGGGTGCTGTAATGGTTACTCATGCTGTATAATGTGTTATTGCCATGGATGGCTAGGTAAAATTTCTAAAAAAGATCCAAAATCATATCAGAGAAAAAATTAAGTAGTTTGATTTTTATTAAGGAGTCAAATAGAACCCAGCTGCCAATTTGAATAAAAATAATAATTTCAACTAGACTATTAGCAGAATTGCAAAACTGATTTTAGTCCAAATCAGGACTAAATATTGCGTATCTTTCAAAAGTGTTCATTTGTACATTTTTGATTGTAAACTATTTCTCATAATTTAGAAGAAAATTATACTCAGTTCTGCAATGATCACTTCTCTTACTAATTTTAAGGGTCAAAAGGTTTCTTAATTTCTGTATTTGTGTATGTTTATTTATAGTTTAAAATAATACTTCCTGCAATACTACTTTTCCTTTTCTTTTTAAGATCCAGTGGAAGTTGCTGAGCAAATCCTGTATGGTGAACTGATGAAGTTTCTGGATGAAGAAAGCAAGATGGCAAGATCACAAGGTAAGTAATAAAATAGTAAAGAATAAAGAAAAAAAAAATTCTGTTAAGTCTGGATGCAGTGGATGGAGGCTTATCCATACCCTTGAACTCGAAAGCAAAAGGGACATTGATTTTAATGTGAGCCTGCAAGGTCTTTCCCCAAATGTTTTCATTTTGATTCATGTTTATATGGTATTAAGTGAAATTTAAGTGGTGTGCTTTCTTTGGGCTGCTTCACTGCTTGTTAAATTCCACCCAAATGAATGAAGAGTGGAAAAGTCCTGGCTTACATGCTCAAAGCTAGAAATTTAATTCCTTATTTAATCTCATAAAATGGGTGGGCCATTTGTCATATGCACTGGTCACCTGATAGGCTGCTTGAGGTTATCTGTATGAGGGTTTACACTGTAACAGGCAAGTCAGAAAATATTTTCTGTGGCTTTGTTAAAAATACCAAACTGATGTTCCATCTATGGTGAAAACAGCAAAGTGCAGGAGAAGAGGTTACTTCACCTCGAGCTCACAGCCTTACTTTGGCTTTACTTTTATTTACAGCCTTTATTTAACATCCACTTGGTACACAAGACCGTTACCGTCGTAGCCTGTACATGGTGTGCATGCCTGCCGCTTCCCTCTACTTCATTTCAGATGAAGTGATGTACGAATAAACCACAAACTCAGGGCTGGCTTGTGTTCTTCAGTATTTCTCCTGCACGCGTGCGCATACTTTTCAGCAGAAGTCTTGTGTGCAGAAGTATTTTCTGTTCTTTTCTATCTGTGTGAGGCTTGTTGTTGCCTAGTAGTTACATCCAGGGACTACTCTGTCAGAGACGAACCAGGCAGTTGCCTACTGCACAGGCGCCCCAGGAGCTGCAACATGTTTTATGACTGTTGAGCTCAGGAGCAACTTTTTCCTAGAAGAGGCAAATGTCTTCATTTGCCAAGGGTTGCAAAATCCCTTCAACTGGCACTGGTCATATCAGCAATATCTTTGAAACCTGTTTTGTCTTATTTTAAATGCAAGGAAAAGAAAGTACAAACACCATAGCTAAGTTCATGCAGCTAGATAATTTCAGCAAAAAACTTCAACAAACTGTTGGCAAGCTATCTTTTGTTGCGTGTTAATGTGGAGCTCCGCGTTACTGGAAAAGATCAAAGCAATCCTGCAGGTTGATTGTTGCTTTTACCCTATAACAACATAGATTAAAGTAAAAACATGCTTGGCTGTGGTGAAGTCAGCATTGTTTCTATTGGAAATACTGGCATGTGGTTTCTGTCTGCGGTATTTATGTTGTCCCCTCTACCAACATTTGTAGCATTTCATGGTCTTCAATAGCTTTAGCCTCAAAATACTGCAGTGCGATTAAGGAAAATGTCAAGTTGTCGTTTTGCAGGGGGGCCCAGGGTAGGATCACTTTACATTAGTTTTCTGGAAGTTAGCTGCTAGGGCTCGCTCTAAAGTCACAGGGAAGAGAGGGAGAAGCACCTCTGGACAGGGGTTCAGCCCACCTCACCCAGGCACCTCTTAAATTGGTAAGACGGATTACACCCTGGAAGCAGTTCTTCTTTCCTTTGACGGCAGAAGGATCTTAGACAACTGACTTGGACTTGACCATTGCTTTTTGCATGGTCAAAGGTAGGTGAGCTGAGGTGTGCTGTGTGTATTTTGCCCACTGACAAGCAAAGTTTGTAGAGAAGTGGGGAGTAAAAGGGAAGTCTCCCCCAGCCAGTAGTGCTTGATCTCTACCTCAGCTGGGTACCCTAAAGCTCTGTATGCTTACAAGTAACATTAATGAATATTACTAAGATGAGCAAATACTTTAAAGAGGAATAAATCCTGTCAGCAAGTAGGTGATTTGGAGAAAAATGAGATTTCAGTGATCTCCTCAAATATTTATACAGTAAACTGGTCAGATACTTTTGAACTGAAAATGATTTTTTTTTACCTACTTTTATCAAACCACCACAAAGAGGTAAAATACTCTTAATACAATTCAGCTACTTGGGGTATGAGACAGGGAGGGTCAAATCTATCTTCTGACTGAAGGAGTTGTTTGAATGTTTGCAGTGTGGGGTGAGGACCGTGACCCTATGCTGCAGCTGCTGAGCCTGCTGAGCGGGTGGGTATTGTGCACAGACTCGGCTGAAGAGCCCAGAACATGCTACTGGCTCACTGACTTAGTTCGAATCCAAAATTCAAGGGCAAGAAACTGTATTAAGATGAGCATCTTGTACTCCAGGTGAACATCACAGCCCCTGTGTATAATCAAGAGGGCAGTGAGAGCAGGAGCTGCAGCAGCCAGCTACTGCCTTATGTTTTGAGTAGTGCCTCAGGGCGGTTTTTCCTTAAAAGTGCCACAATGGGTATCAGAATTACAACTAAGGATGATCATTTCATCCTGTCCTAGGTGAATTTTTTACTGAGATTATTTTTGGTTTGAGTGAATACGGACTTGAACAGATTGTTAAATTGGGGTCGGTCAGAGCAAGATTTTCTTAAGGAAGTGAGGCTTGTCCGTCCTCCACCTCTTTGTGTGTATATCTGACTGTATTTATTTCTGGTAGTCTGTGAATTCTCCCCCTCAAATTTTTATCCTGTTGTCCACATCCAAACCTCCTTTTTTAACAATGAGCAAAAGTCTCAGAGGTCTAACTTCCCGACCAGTTTTATGGAACTGGGCAGCTGAACAGAGCAGACAAGCATTATTAATGTCTCCACTGAGGGAAAAGCTGATATGGGAGCTTGACCCTTATTAAACATCAAAAAATCCTTAGAAAACTGGGATTCATTTGGTTCCATTCCATACAGAACTGTTTCTGTTTTATTTGACCACTGAACTGAAAAATCACGTAGTCATACAGTCTTAATTAATAGATCAACCCCAAAGGAAAAGAAAGAACATAGCTCAAAATTTATCATTGAATGTTTTAAAGCCTATTATCTCCGAAGAACCTGTTGGTTGCTCTTGTGGTACATGTTAGATCATATTATGAAAAACCTAAAAGGCAACACTGGTTGTCTATTTTTTTAGAGAAAGAGGTAGACTCTGCACCTACCCAGGGACAAAACCTATCAGACAGTTTTAGATCGTGATCTGCACATGTCTAAAATGATGTCATGCTGCAGAAAAACATTTTCTATTATATTAACAACAGCTAAGCAATTAAAGCAAAATGTTTTGCAGTGTATTAGTTAGTTTGCAACTGATGCGCGTACCTTTAGTGACATTGTTAGCTACAATTTGTATGCAGTGTCTTCTAGAACCAAGCAGGAAAAAGGTGTTTTCTACATGGAGTTTATAGCTGCTTTACACATTCAGAGCTGTGCTGTGGTCTAGTCTGGTGGTGGACCTATCCTTTACGTTCTCATCATCCTCGTACACAAACCATCGCTATTTGCCAGACGCATGTGGGAGTAAAAGAGGGCCGTTTTAAATATTTTTTTAAACTATGTTCCTCCTTGCCATGCTTGGGCTGTGCTGTGCTGTGCTGTGCTGCTGCGTAGTGAGCCCAGGCAGCAGTGCCGGGCCTGCTCGTCCACGTGCTGGTGCTCCAGGCACCCAGGGACTTGGGAAACCCTTCAGCAGCGGGAACAGCTGGGCCAAAACTCTGACCAGAAAGAATGCTTCATTCTGGCAGGGCTTCATTACTCACCGAATCACGGCTGTGACTCAATGGGTATGATTGCCCAAGCAGATCACGAGTTAAGGGAGGTCATTGTCCCTGATGTCTCAAAGGCCCACTTGCAAAATAGCTGAACTTTCCGTCCTGACCTGTGAATTGCCTGTTGCACTTGCAACAATTAGCCAAATGAATACTGGATAGCATATTTGAATTACAGCACAACATCTGCAAATATACCCTGTGCTAAAGAGAACAAATTATTTAAACTACACGGAAAGTCTAATTTGCACTAGTAAGTACAGTCAACGTAATGAGAAGTTTGACGCATGCTAACATGTTGGGAGAAGCCAGTTTTTAATTGATTGATCAGTCTATCCATGAGTTTCCTTGCAAATTCTCAGCCAACCCCTTTTGTGTTTACAAAGCAGTAGCGTTTCTAACATTGTGGCTATTTTTGGACAGCAAGGCGGATGAGGCTTTGCTTTGGTCCAGCTTAACTATGAGATCACCACTCAAGCCTCTAACCCATGGGTCAGTTCAGCCAAAGAGCAACCGATTGGTGACTGGGAGTCAAACTTTTTTTTAAAGCCACCATGGAGACAACTAACTAGCTGAAAAATCCAGTTCTCTTTCTCTCTCTAACTTTGTCAAATGAGCAGTTTTTCCAGCTCTGCTTTCAATGAATGTGTATGTGTTTTCATCAAATACTTTCAAATCTGAATCATAGTTTATCTGGGTGTTTTCAATAGTTACTTCCCTGGAAAAGGCTTTTGGAAATGTTCTCTGTCTTCTCTTGCTCTTTTTCCACAGAACATGTGCTAATGAGTCCAGTATCTTCCACCAAAACCAAATTCATTAAGTATAGTTCCTCACAAAAACAGTAAACACAAAAAGAAAAAGGATATTTTGACGAACCGCTGTCTGGTTGACTTTGCAGACTGAATGCTTTTATTCCTCTTTTGATATATGAGGCTTATCTATCAGAGGATCTGAGATAGGAATGTCCTTTCCTTTGACGATTAAAACTTGCATTGCCGCTGTGAAAGCGGTAAAGCAACTGATTTACACCAGTTACGCATATGGCCTGTTGTGTACAACATAGTACAGAAGGGAACAAGCAATGCTGCATCCTCTGCTGTTGGCAATGTTTTCTTTTCCAGCGCTTCCTGGATTTTCTCTCTCCTAGCCAAACCCTTAATGTTACAGTAAATTTAAATGTAAATACCGTTTTTTTCCTGCAGTTAATAGTTGTAGGTCAAATCGCTTTTCATTAGGCTTGTAAGATGCTGCATGAAGAGGTTCTGTGTACCCTAAGGTAATGGTTTGGGTTGTTTATATCTACTGTACACTTCCCCCAACATGATTTTGAATTTGTATCCTGTTGTAATTAAATAAAAAACTACTTCCTGTGTGTTGGTGGCACAGAGGTGATTTAAGTACTCAGGAGGCTCAACAATTAAAGTCATTAAACAATGAGTAGTGAGCAAAACTGAAAATTTTAATAGCCTTAGTTTTATCTTTCCTTTTCTGGTCTTCATTAGAGAACGAAAGACTTCAAAGGGGAGTGAGAAAAAAAATCTTTTAACTGCTTTCATGTCTTAGGATGGAAAAAGAGAAAGGCAAATAACTAGATATGGCATTCTCTTGCAGAGAAAAAGGCACAGAGAACTATAAAGACATGCACTTATACGTAGAACAATGAGGCAAGTAAAAGCAGGTGAGATTTGGACAACCCAGTATCTGTCATTTCTTAGTGATCCTAACATGGAGAAATGAGCAAGAGTTGGCTTTATCATGTTTTTGACCCAGACTAGTATTAGTACTGTAGCAGATGTCAGTGAGAAGATATATTTGGAAGTAGCATGTTGAATTAGACAGAAACAAGAAAACAGGTCATCTTTAAGACAGACTTTATGAATGGGATTTAATTTTATTTATACACAGCACGTACCCTTTAGTTCTGCATACGTCATGAGAGTGAAATCAGTGGAATGAGGTGGGTTAGAGCAGAACTGGACCCAATTAATTAGGCGGGAGCTGAGCACACACACCTGGGGGTGGAATTCAATCCTCCAGGACGAGTGGGAGGAAGATGAAGTGATTGGTGTGGCCCTGTCTAAAAAACCCTTTGAATTCCTATTATTCCTAATCTTCCATAAAACTATAAGCCAAAGTGATTCTGATTAAAATTCCTTTAACATCACCAGATTTACGTGGGAGTAAAGTGACCGTGAGTATACACAGCACCCCTTTTGAACGTATTATACAACAAACTGTACATCTTAGCTCTTTTTCCTTACACAGCTGTTGCTCTTGAGGATGGTTTTCCTGGCAGTGATGCTTGGAATTTGCCACTTGTTTTACTGTTGTTACTTATTTGTATTAATTTTATGGCATCAGCAGCTGTCTTAAAATTTTGATGGGACAAACATAGTAACTGAGAGGTACTAATCAATGATTGGAGTCCCATTTGCTAAAAGATAATCTGCCACTTTCATTTCAAGCAGCCTATGTCGTCAGTGAAGATTTTCCAGACTCCGTGATGCCTGTCAGCTTCAGTAAGACACGTGACCCTCACAGAGAGGTTGAAGATGAAGTGATTCCTTCATATATCGAACAGTTTGAGAGAGATGTTCAGGATGACATAATTCTGCTTGGCAGCTTTTCACTGGAACAGGTCAGAGTTAAGAACTATAAGACAATTTTATCGCTCGCTTCATAACATGATGCTGCCTTGTTAACCTTGTACACCCCAATTCTATTTCACTGCCTGGTGATACATCTATTGAAAGGAGAAAAGATAACCCATTTCATTGTCTTGCTTTATGTCACTGGAGTTTTACAAAGCTAACACAACCTCTACCTTTGTCTCTGTTCAATGTGAATAAAAACAAATTGCCTTCACTGTTTCTTTCCAAAGTAGTGGAGTGTCTCTGACTCCTCCACAGGAAGTATTGCAATTGAGTTTCAGTCAAGAACCTAAGCTTGGGACATCTCTCTCTGCCAAATTTAACAGAGGCATATTCATCTATCAATGAGGAAGTTAAGTTTGGAGCCCAGGAAGGATTATGTAACAGTATTTATTGTACAGGGGATATAATTACTCCCAAATTATACATCTGATGCATTCTGCAGACTGCCAAAGCTTCCTATGGTTTCGTAGTCTAAAAAGACAAGACTGAGTTTGTGTTGATAGAGGTACAACTTTTCGGGCCTGAAGTGATAGTTATGGGCACCTAACTACCACTTGTCCCTTTGAAAAATCTCGTACCAAGACTGGGGGACAAGAAGAGAGATTAACTGATGAATCTATCATTTCTAATTAGCAACATGAGAACAGTACGCTGGCTCTGATGGGCTTAAAATAGGTTATGCATTGACTGATGGTGATCTCAGCTTTTCTTTTATTTTCAAAGTAAGTCTTTAGAATTTTTTCATTGCTGGACTAATTCTCACACTGGTGGAGGAGAAAATTCCCTTCCTTGCTGATTTCCTGTAAATCCCTATGTAGCTATATTTCCTTCCTGCCTATTTTCTGTAGCTGTGTGTGCATCGGAGGAGGTCTGAGGAATGTTGCTCAGAGAACATGAGGTGGGAGGGAAAAGGGCTCAGATCGTACCAAGAAAGTCAGGAACTGAGGGAGTAGGGATGGTAGATGAGGAGTCTGGGAACAGCTGAACAGAGGGTACTGCTCCTTTCCAGAGGACTTTATAATGCACTGAGAATTTATATGCTCACTAAGCCTGAATAGGGCTATTAGGATCCCCCCCACCCAAAACTTCATGAGGCTGTGTGGTACCTGAAGGAGCACAATAGATTTGTAGGTCCTTTGTTTACACTCTTT